TAATTGCCCTCATAACACTTACTATAAACAATTGTCTTGCATGTATGTTTATTGTCTGTACTTTCCCACAACTAAAACATAACATTTGTGAGATCGTCTGCCATGCCCGGTGCTCTTATTGCCAGGACCCCGCACCTGGATGGTCACTGTGGCAGGAAGGGAGAACAGGCAGACTCATTCAGTATATATTAATCAGCAAGTCGTTTCTGGACCTCACTTTACTGATCTGTAAAATGGGGCAATACTTTTTTTTTTTTTTTCAGCAGATCCTTCCAGGTCTGACTTTGGAGGATTCTACAAATACCTCATCTCAGACCTCCAGGAATGAGGGCAGCCCTACATGCATCGTTTAGGACGAAAAAGAAAGACGATCATCTTAGAAAAGCAGCAATGTTGAGGAGTAGGAAACATTTTCACACTCAGACTGGAGTGTGAAAATAGAGCTCAAGCCTCCAAGGAGAAGAGAATGAGAAAAGGGGAGCGGAGATTGATAATGCATGGGTATAATGAGATGGCAATTTTGGTTTCAAAAGAATGTGATTAGCTCCTAATGACTGCCACAATTCCCTGGTCAATCTACTGTAACCAGTTGCTAATGTAAAAATAATGCCCTTTGCCTGGCTCACTTCGAAGACGGAGATGAGTCTCTCTTTCATACTTTTGCCCCCTCTTATTTTTTCCCCCAAGAGATTATCTTCTGTTAGATAATCTCTATAAAGGAAAATGGAGGTGTGATTAAAGTCCGCCAACCAGGGTCATGTGGGGTCATTACCACTCTCTCCTGGGTGGGTGGCTCTATTAGGCTTTCCTCTTCTACCAGACTCCAAATTGTTCTCCAGCTCCCACCAGGAGGGAGACAGAGGCTGCCAGGGCTGAGGCAGCATCCTGCATGGCTTCCTACAGAGAAGGCCACTCATCACAGAGGTTTTGTTTAGTGTAAGATTTTTCTAAAGCTTTCTGCACACTGGGTGCATCCTGAAAGGCATGGCCTGGATGTTGAGAGGACTCCCAACTGTGTGTCATTTAAGGACTCTGGGGATGGACAGAAACCTTCAGCAAATCCCTGCAGTGTTGCCATGCAGAAGGTGCATGCTTATTCTTAGGGCCCCATGGAGCAGGGCAAAGGCAAAGTATGTGGAGACAGAATGAACACTGTCCAGTGGGTCTGTCTAAAAGTGAGATGGGAAGCTGTATGGGGCAGTGAGCTCTCTGTTGCTGAGGGTATCCAAGTGGCAGATGCTATAGATCAGCTTAGCAGCTGCCTAGAAGGCAGTTGTAAATGGGAACACAGCCAGATGATTTTCAAAATCAATTACACCTCTGAGAGTCCAACATCTTTGCCTTCTGAATGTGCTGAAGGAACCTTACCCACCAATTTTTGTATCCATCTATCCACTTATTCATTTAAAAAGCAGTGGTTCAAGCACATATGAAGTACAAAGCCAATATTGGGCTCTGGAGGTACAGACGTGAACAAGAGGCTCTCCTTTCCCTGGAGCAATCCATCACCAAGTTGGGAGACAAGGCATCCAAATGATTAGATGTAGAAGAGTCCATCTGTTAATAGAAGTGACTGACTAGTTGAGGTTGCAGTGGGGTGGCAGGAGGGTGAATGGGGAAGGTTTTACAAAGGAGAAGATTCTTGAACTGGGTTTTGAAGAATATGTAGAGGTTTACTAGGTGGGCTTGGGTGGAAGAGAATTTCAGGCAGAGAGCCAGTCTCAGAAATCTGAAATGGCCGAAACTGTCTATAGCATTGCATTTAGTGCCTTTAGTGCCCCAGAAAATTAGTTTGAAAACACTTGGCATGTCCTTCTTGTCTTCACACTACTTTGGGGTGAATATAATTAAATGAACATTCGGCTTTTATCACAGAAGGTTTCAGGTAGAAAATCCACTTCCAGAATATCAGCTTAAACGTTGAGAAGTCTGATGCTGCCCCCAAGACAAGCATACCCACCCTTGCAGAGGGCCAGGACTGGGTATGCACCCCTGGCTCATTGCCCTGCCCGAAACAGCTGGCGCTACCTAGCTGCAGCGGGAAGATGAGACCAGGTGATGAAATCTGAGTGCTAAGAGTCACTTCCAAGAGCAGGAGCCATTTGCAGTCTAGAGAGGACCTCTGCTGGTGGCGGGAGGGATGCAGTGTGATGGTCATTGACAGAGCAAGGTGAGGAGGGAGAGGGGAAGAAGAGGGAGAGGGGAAATGGGCCCTCCATTTATAAAGTAAGCATTTTCCTATCTCCACAGTGCTTTTGTCACACTGAGATTTAAGGCAGAGATTGGTGCCCAGAACCTATACTCTGTCACTTCTCCTTCAGGATGCCTGTCTGAGGGTCTCTGTCACACACAAAATTCTGATCCATTAGTAGCTGGGAAGACACTCTGAAACCCTGGGGAAGCTAAGCTGGAGAACGTGGGCTAGTCAGGAAGGCAGGCAAGGGCCTCCCACCCCATCTCCATTCCATCTCGAATGGGAATCAATTCTGCCTAACCAACTGCTGCATAGCTGAGGGTCACGGTCATACTTCTAGAACAAAGGTCAGCAAACTATAGTCATAGGCAACCTGGTTTTGCTAAATACAGTTTTACTGGGACACAGCCATGCCCATTTGTTTACATTCTTTCTGTGACTGCTTTCAGTCTGCAATAGTGGAGCTGAGTAGGAGTAGTTACAACAGAGATTGTATGGCCTGCAAAGCCCAAATTGCCTACTATCTGGCCCATTATAGAAAAAGCTGGCCAGCCTCTGCTCTAAAAAAGGACCCACCCAGGCTGGCTTAGTACATGGGAGACTAGAAGCAAGAAAGAGGCCATGGTGCTTGGGCTGGGCTTTTAATAGACAGTGGTCCTGCCTGCCTGTCAAACACGGCCTGCTGAATGGCTGAATTTCTGACCAATCAGATTACAGATTCCTCCTTGCTTAGGGTGGACCTAGCAAGGAAAATAGATGAGCAAAGGCAAAGCTGGAGTGTTAAGATGAGTGGCTGCTCTGTTCCCCTGCACTGCTGACGGGGATCTGCATGAACTGGAGATGTTGCAGAATCTGTCCCAGAAGCAGTGCAAGGGCCACAAGCAGGGCATTCAGCCTTTTCTCCTAGAAGCAGGGTGGGAACAGTAGTCAAAGTGTGGCCTGACCTTCATGCTTCTGCAGCTTCCCTAAAGCCATCCCCTCTCCCTTAAATGCCCAGGTTCCTTCTCTCTGAGATAACTGACTACATACATGCACCTTTGTGTTTCTGTAACACTTGGCTCATAACTCTCAAGTCATTCCATATGGTTGCTCCCTTGTCTGTCTCCTCTTAAACCAATGACTCCCATCTCTTCCCTCCCCCAAACTCTGACTCTGAACCTTGTTGTTCAGCTTCCTACTGAACATCTTGGCTTGGATGTCGAATACTCTCAAATGTGCTGCTGCTGCTGCTGCTGATACTGATGCTGATATTCTTATTATTTTGTTTGTACATGTTAAGAAGCACGTAGTACTCAACAAGTGCCACGTACTGTTCTAAACACTTTCTGTACCCAAAACACAATGCTTCATTCCTGCCTCCCCCGTGCTGTTTCTCCCCCACCTGTTTCTTCTCCATCTCATTAAGCGACGTGACTCTTCACTGAGTCCTTCAAGCCAACAGTCTGGGTGTCAGCTTTCATCCCTCTCTGTCCTTCATAGTCCACACCTACAGTAGATGTGTTGTGACCTGCCCCAGTATCCCCTCTCCACTCACGGTTCCCAATGCCTGCCTCCTGGAAGCACCTGAGGCTTTGCCTGAGGACCTCCTCAACACTGAAGAATATGCACACCTTGCCTGCAGAGCATGGTGGTGTTAAGGGAGCTCCTAAGAGTTGTCCTCAGCTGATAGGTGGGAATCAGTGGATTAACACCCTAGGCTTCTTCTTCCTCTGGTGGGCATGAAATGGGCATGGGATTCCTCCCCAGCTACATGCAGTGGTAACCTGCCCACTCATTTACCCTATAATAACTTCCTTCCCCTGATTGCCTCACTTCCCTGACTTTCACACCCATGCTTCTTAGGATCGTCTCCAAATAGAACCTCATAGTCAGATCCTTTTTTTCTTTAAAGCAGTTAACCTGCTTTGGAGAGAACCAAAATCTACAATATTCAACTGAAAATAATCGCTTCTCGCCACACCCACTATCACCATCCTGGTACAAGGGTCCAAGGTACCATCCTCTCTTTCCTGGACTGTTGGTCTCCCTGCTTCCTTGCTAGACCCACTAGCTCCTGTATTTCATATAGGAGCCAAAATGTACTTTGTAAAGCATGAATCAGATCAGGTCACTCTCCTGCTTGTTTCCAATCACAGTTAGAATAACACACAACCGGTTACCGGCGACCTCAGTGTCCCCTCTAACCTGAGCTCTCCCAGCCTCTCCGGGTGCTCTGTCACTGCCCTCCCCCTCCTCACCCTTGACTGTGGTCATTTGGTTGCCACCTTTGCATCTGCTGTTCCCTCTGTCTGGAAAGTGCCTCCTGCATTTCTTGGGGTGAGTGGCTTTTTCACACCCTTAAGTGATTAGCTCCAGTGTTAAGTTCTCAGAGAAGGCCTTGCAGACTGTGTAACCTGAAATAATCCTCATCCTCCATCACTCTCTCTCACCCTCCCCCAGTCGTCTGGAAGTTAAGGGGGCACTTTGTTTATTTCTCTGCATCCTAAGTACATAGAACGGTGCCAAACACATATTAAGGACTCAATAAATTTTTTGTTGAATGAATAAATGAATGAATGATTCCTCTCCTGGACCAGATTTGGGCTTATGGCACACAGGAGACTTGAATGGCATTTGAATCAATGAAGAAGTGAATAAGGCCATAGAGGGGCCCAGTTTGTGTTCTCCCCAGGCCCCATCCAAGACCACACAGCCCTTTGTGCTGAGTGACCCGTCACAGTGGGTGTCATTTCCCCCACTTACTCATCTTCACCTGCCTAGAGCTCCTATCTCGGGCTGTTCTAACCACTCTGTCCTTTCTTTGTAGGCCTTACCGGAGGGGCAGACAGCTTCATGGGACACAGCCAAAGAGGATGAAAATCGCAATAAGAATCGATACGGAAACATCATATCCTGTAAGTGCTCTTCTGGGTGGCCCCAGGCTTCGGGGCACGGAGGAAACAAAGCTGTTACTATTATTTACCTAGAATTTGTTATCGTGCAATGAATCCTTGGTGTTTCCAACTTTGGGGCAACATGCCAAGCTGGGAGCTGTCGTTCAGTCTCCCTGTCCCATCTGGCCTGGGTGACAGAGCATGGCTGACCTTGGCCACAGGAGGCAGGTGGGAAGCTGGGTCCCAGTGGAGAAGATCCAGGAAGGTTCTGAAAGCTGGGTCTTTCCTGGAATTGCCCACTATGCAAGGATTTTTCAGGTTGGGGAAGAAGCCCAGCCAAAAGGAATTCTTTATATTCCTAATGGTTCCTCAGAGTACTTCCGGAGAAGTGACTCTGGGTAGGGAGCAAGGTCCAGCCCACGAGGGAGGGGCTGAGAACACCGAGGCCAGAGCATACTGCAACTCCAAGAAGGTAGCGTCCCAGGCAAGGATTGATGCTCAGAAGGAGCCAGAAACTCTGAGGGCTGGCAGCGGCCCACTCAGGCCTTGAAGGAGCCCCAGGTTACTGCAGTCACAGCAGAGGCAGGGCTGAGGGCATCATGAACTCTGCCAGACCTCATGCCCGTGGGCAGAGACTCTCGGGAGCGTGCCTGCTGCCCAGGGCTGCATGGGCACAGGCACTGGGAGGGCCCGAGCCTGCCAGAGGAAAGCACGTTGTGTGCGGAGCTGGGGGTGGTATGGAAGCGCATTGCCCCTTGCGTGACAGTGAACTGTAGGCCCCCCCGAAGTGATATGATGAAGGCTGTGGTGCAGAGTGGTTACAGCCCTCTGCACTCACACTGCCTGGGCATCTGTCCTGCCTACAGGGCCCAAGCAGGTTTCCTGTCCTCTCCAAGCCTCACTCCTCACCTTTAAAATGATGAAAATAATAGGGTCACTGAAAATACAGATAGGGTCACTGAAAGAAGGTATGTAAAACCCGGTCCCTGACACCATTGTACTCAGAGCTGAGGAGTTAACATTTTCAAAGTCACCACTAAGCAGTATCTACGTAGCATTCTACCATATTTCAACCAGAATTCACTCAATACCCATGGCGGGGTCATGGAATAAACCAGGCTGCAGGAGGGTGGTGATCATATGTCCATTTTGGAAAGATCCACAGGGTAGCTGATTGGGAAGGGTGGGTTAGATTGGGAAAGGCTGGAGGCAATGGGACCAGTCAGGAGGCTACTGCAGCGGTCCCAGCAAGGGACGATGAGGCCTGAACAAAATCAGTAATGGTACTTATATGTGCCCACACGTGGGGGTGAGTGCCTGGGGGAGAAGAGGAGCGTCAGACTGCCAGAGAACTAAACATCAGGTCACACGCCAGTATTGTCACTGCCAAATGTTGATGTGCACAGTCTTGAAAGCACCATGATATAGAGAGCACAGAGCTTCCTCCTACAGGAAGCTGAGTACATGTTCTCATTAGAACAGGCGTCCACAGCAGCCTGTGTCACCTCCGTGTACCCAGCCTGGGCCTTCTGATGTCTCACCAATTGGGTACATAGCACTCCTTGGTCTCCGCTCTCAGAGTCAACCAGTCAAAAAAAAAAAAAATGTCGTGAATAACAAATTATTTCTAGCACAGCTCAGTGACTTGTTTTGTTTCACTGTCTAGACGTTGCCTAAGAACAAGTGTGGAGGAAGAAAGCGTAAGATAACAGGCAGCTTGTAGAGGAAGAAGGAGGCAGAAGTTTTAGCTTAGCTGTTTCCTGTGCTGATTTAGGAATGGGCTATGAATGTAGAACTAATCAGAGAGCACTTATAATGTGTCGTTCGGAAGATAGTAATACAGACAGTAAGATTTCTTGCAAACGAAGCATTGGAAGAGCTGTCCAAATGATCAGGACGTGTGTGTTGAGACCTATGGCCTGTGAGTATCCTCTGAGCCAGGTCCTGGGACGAGCACCGGGACTCTCAAGTCTCTCCTCCCAAGGAGCTCCCATTCTGGGCACATGTGGCCGCTCACTCTTACCACTCTCGGCTCAAGGACTGTGCCCTAAAATATCTGATCGCGTGTCCATTCCCCCTATCAGATTGTGGATCCAGATCAGGTCACTAAATTACCTTGCCTGATCACTCTAACCCCTAGTCTTTGGTCTGTAAAATGGATATAGTGATGTCTTCCTCACAGAGAAAAAACATAAATGACTAGAGCACAGTGAAGAGACCCCACCTCCCTGAGGGGCAGGGACAATAAGGCGGAGTCAGGTATGGGGGCCAAAGTCAGTGGAGGCCAAGGGCAAGAAGCCAAACCAAGCCTTGTATCTCTCCTGACCCCACTGCTCACCGTCTGCTCTCCGCACCTTTGCCCACACCGTCACCTGCTCTCACCTGGCCTCTGCCTGGCCTCTTTCATGGTTGCTCCACATCCACCTTTGCCCCCAGCTTTCTACCTGTCTAATCTCTGACAGAGATGAGAGGGGCCTGAACTGGATTGTGTCATCTTACTGGAAACCCTTCAAATGGTTGCCCTTTGCTCATGAACACTCCTTGTCCAAAGTCTCTTAGCCTCCTCTGCCGTCTCATGTCCCGCCGTGTCCTCTCTATGGTGGTCTCCTCAAGTCAGCCACACTGACTTTCCTTCAGTCCCTGGAGTTTCCCAGGTTCCCCGACGCCACAGGGCCTTTGCACATTCTGTTCCATCAAAGTGTCATTCCCTCCTCTCTTTGTTCTACTAATTCAACTTTTTCTTTTGGTCTTAGCTCAGTCACCACATTTTCAGGGATTCTTCTGAACTTTTTAGATTTGCTCAGAGCCCCATTATTCACTCCCAGCACACAGATGTGTCTTCTCCTTAGCCCTTATCATCATTGTGATTTCAGAGGCATTTCCATGGCTGCCTATCGCCTGCCTGAATCTCTCACAAAAAACAGATGCTCTGTGACAACAGACCCATGACTGTCTTGCGCTTCCGTGTCCCCAAACCTGCTATGTGGTTGGTGCTCAGTGAATAGGAATTGAATGTTGGAGAGTATAGATTCTCTGCAAGACCCCAAAGGCCTTGAGCCATGGATCTCTCCCTTGTGGCCCCCCAAATATCTTAGAGAAAACCCCAAAAGAATGAATGGAGGAAGGCCAGATCAAGATGACACTTGGAACAATTGCCAAGCAATATCTTCCAATCAAGAAGAAGGTGCTGGACCTGAAGTACGAGAACAGAGCCTGGATCCCAGGCAGCAGGAAGAGCAATGAAGGAGGTTAGAATTCCATCACTGCAGGTGCAGAAGATGCAGTCAGTGTCCCACCCACACCCCATGGCCTCACCGCCTCACTGTGCAGTGACACCAGCTGGCGGTACCAGCATCCGAGGCAGGGCGAGAGGGTAAGGCGAGCGAGACACCCAGCCTGTAACATGCGAGGAGGTTCCTCACTCTCAGCTGTTGATGCTGCATCTGCTCGACCCTGAGAGAAAGCACCTTGCCAAGGTGCCCAGGGCGATTGACTTGTACCCCCTCATCCTGCTCTGTCCGCATTTCTTTGCCTGAGAACTTTCTCCAGGCTGAGCAGGATGTTCTCTTCATGTACAAGGCAGTCTCTCCCCAGACCATGAAATAGCCCAGCTCCTCTCCCTCCCACAAGGGTGTTGTGTTTTACACCTGTCCCAGAATCCCCCAGGGAACAGGCTGCAGATGCCCACCGTAGTAATAGCTTTGAAAATGGCCTTTCTGAGCTGCCTTCTCTTGGCTGTCTCCCTCGCCCCCTTCCCCCTGATGAACCCTCTCCTTCTACGTAAACTACTCACACTGTAATCCTCTTACATCTTCTCCTGGGGAAACCCAAAGGGAAGGAAGCAGAGGGAATTCACACACCTAATGATACCACCTTGATGGGCTTAAATAAACCTGAATCTCCCTTCTAGCTTGAGGGTCAATAATTCTGCAACAAATCAGGGCTCAGTACTGCATACTGAGATAGCACCAAGGCAACCGGTAGATTCTAATGCAGCTCAAGACATACAGGGAAACCAAGAAAGAAAAAAAGAAGTCCTGGAACCGAAATGAGAAAGGTGACACAGAAACAGCCCCGAGGGACAGGAAGTGTTCCTGCCCTTGTAGGTGTCTCTCCCAAAGGCAAGTCTGCTCTGGTTTGATAAATAGAAATATTCTTGGCACAAGAAGAAAACCAGATGTGATCCGCATCTTAAGGAACACAGAGAGGCTGGAGTGGAGGACGAAGGCCCAGGCCTGGGAGAACTGAAAGATCAGAGGCAAGGAGGAGACAGGCTACAGCCTGCAAATGAAATGAGAGAAAAACCTTGGCTCCATAAGCCCTTTCTTCCAAATGTTTCTGTTTAGAATTTAGTAATAGAGACAGTGGGGTTTCCCGAAACTGGAAATGGAAAGGAAGTGAAAGGGAAGGAAATGAATGGGGAAAGCAGAACAAAGAGTTCTTTGCTTTCAAGTAGCACTGGGCAGGGACTGTGGGCAAGGGGAAATTTCAAGAACACCAAAATATTCCCCATGAGGAGTTCTAGAGGGGGCTTGCTGGACCAGCGGCAGGAAATTACTCCCAGCAGAGGAAGTGATCTCAGGGTGATCTTACAGATTTTACAAAATGAGGCTCCCCTTTTGGGATCAGGCAGGGTTCCAGCAGGAAAGAGGTGGGACCCTCAAACAGGGGGATTTGAGGAGATAATTTAATCATGTGAATTTTCATAAAGGTGTGAGCTTGGTATAGGGAGATTACAGGAATTATGCAGAATCCTGAGGCTAACTACCAGCCCCGGGCCACAGAGGATTCAGTAGGGAGAGGTTACCAGGACACGGAAAAGAGGACCTGATTGGAGATATATTTAGTGGTGTCCATAGTGACCCAAGCAAGGGAGCAGAAGGAGGGATTGCACTCTGTTCTCTGCACCCAGTCTTCTGCGTGTGCTTTGGTTGGCTAAACCCAGCCGGAAGCCAGAGGACAATGGAGTATGTGGACCTAGCCCAGTGGTTCTCAAAGTGTGGTCCCTGGGGTGGTGGCAC